GGGGAAGGGGCTGGAGTTTAGGGGCCCAGTCTCCCCCATCTCAAGGGGGCCTGAGGCATCCTAGCTCAGCTCTGTGACCAGATTACATCTATGCTGTGCTGTATCCTGGAGAGGCAATAAACTTCCTTTAGTCCACCGGCTGGTGCGGTCTGTTTGTGCCATTTCGGGGTGCAGGAGACGGGGAACCCCCAACGCGCCGTCACAGCGGGCTCTGGGGAAGTGCTGCGCAGAGCCCGAGGTCAGTTGACGAGTCCCCCCCGCTGACCCCGGGCTCTGCATGCAGCCCAGAGTCAGCGGGACTTCCCTCTGGCCCTGGGCTGTATGCAGAGTTCTGCATTCCTCCTTTGAATGTACAAGAGCCCCCTACTGGGTCTCTTGTATATTTCAAAGGAGTAATGCGGAAGAGCCCATCGACTAGTCGATGGAAATTCCATTGACTAGTCAATTAACTGGATTTTAACATCCTTAATATAAAGTATTAAGTAACACAGGGCGGTAGGTACTTAAATGAACCTCGACCCAACTTGCCTTCCTCAACACGCAGTTTATTGCATCTTTCCCATTAAAGAGCTGCTCGTTAAACAGCAGGGCAGGGACTCTTCTTCCTCACGCTTCAGTCGCTTTGTCTTAACATGGCCCTGTCCTCTACTCCTGTGCATCAAAGCAGCTTGTGATGAACCTGGCTGCTGTGTATAAGCAAGCTCTGCAGCCAGACCAGAGCCATGAGAGGAACGTGACATGGTGTCAGGAGTAAATTAAGAACAGAGCTAGAAGGAAAACAGCAGCCAAGGTTGTGGGGTCTCATCCACATGAGAATTTCAGCGTTGACAAACCTTCCCCAAAGACAGATGGGAAGCAGGATGTCACAAGATTGTGGAGTTTGTATGTAATCCACAAAGAACCTGTGTGGATGCGGTCGACGTAACACAGAGCTGCACAGGCAAATCACAGTGGTCAGTTGGTTGAGACCCGTGGGCGTACAGCGCCTTCACGGTGCCGTGCATTTAGACGTGACTTGCAGAATGCTTGCCAAACCCCCTGTCAGCTAGGAAGTGTTGCAGAAGGGAAAAGCAGAGATAGCTGAGGGGGGAAGTGAAGCAAACCAGCAATGTCTGCGTAAGACAAATCCAGAATCCCCCCCGATGCCAATCGGTGGATGGACAGAGCCTCAACCAAATGTTGGTTCAGTTATTCCCCACATTGAAGGTGGAGGGCAGCAGCTCCCTGGGTATCTGTTTATTCCAGCACCCTCTGCCTTTGAGTGTCTCAGACCTTGTTACGGGCGAGATAAGGGTATGGAAGAGGGGTAGAAGCAAGAGCTGCTGCTCTAATGCAGCTAGATTGCAGCTTTCTTGCCTTACCAAAATTGACACCTAATCCAAGTCTCAGCCTGACAAAGTAGAAGGCTTCCTGTCCCTTATCTTCTGGATGATGTGATAGCGTGGCCAGCTACAGGGCGAGAGAACGTTTGCAACAGGGAAGAACATACTGCAGCTGTATGACAGGGTAGCTGATCTGACCACCCGATACGGCAATACATGCAGTGTGGCGTGGAAGGTAGTTTCCTGCAGCATAGGTGTATTGCTGTTGGCCAGAGTTTGCTTTAAGAGACTGGGCCAGTGGAGGCTGGTGGGGAGTTCTCTCTCTCTCAACCCTTTTTACTAAAACAAAATTTAAAGATAGCTGCTACTCCCCTTTCTCTTCTCCCATGTCCCGGGCTAGCAGAGGGCCAGAACTCAGGTCTTCCCGTTCTTGGAGCCCCAATGGCCGTCTCCCTTTAACAAGAGCCCCCTTTCTATGGGTGCTAGGTGGGTTGGGATTGTCTGCATGCATAGCATCTACTTAGCCTTGACGCGAAGCCAGCGATTGGCAGAGCAGCCTTCTGCTGTTTTCTTCCCTTCTGAACTGAATCCAGTGCTGAGAGGAACGCCGTTCCAAGGAGTAATCTGAAGCACAAATGTTTTTTTACAACCCCAGCACCCCCTCCCCGCCCTCCCTTAATTTTCTTAGTGCTCGATGTCGATAAAACCTGCACTGAGCAAAAAAGCAGCCCAGGATTCAGCAACTGCATTGCAACTCGCTGGACTGTTTAGGCCTCCTGCCAGTATCTCCATCAGCAGCCGGAATTCAGGCATTTTCCTCTTCAATCCATTACTGCTGAGTCCACTTATGTGTCTCACTTATATGCTCCTCCTTCTCCTGGAGGCCGGTGGGTTGGCAGCTTAGGGTATGTCGCAGCAGCTGGAGTCTGGGTTCTGAGACCCCCCCCGTCCTCACTGGGTTTTATACAGGCAGTCCCCGACTTACACGGATCCGACTTATGTCGGATCCGCACTTACGAACGGGGCTTTCTCGCCCCAGAGCTCGCAGGCAGCGGTCAGCCACCTCGACCTCCGGGGCGAGAAAAGCTGCTCCCGGTGCCCCTGGTCTCCTGGGGACCGTCTCCAGCAGACCAGGGGCACCGGGAGCAAAGCCGCAGTGGCGGCGGGGGCC